GAAAATTGAGCCGATAAGACTGAGTTGTAAGTAGCTGCATGACCAACTTGGCACTGAAACCTGAAGCACAACTATCACAGGCAACTGGTTTCCCTTATCTGAGGAAAGACTGAAAATATTAGGCTAATGCCAAGGCAAAAAAGGCCCATGTATGTCACTGTACAAGGACTAAAACATATGTAAAAACAATGAGAAGTCCTGTGGTTTGAGCCGATAAGACTGAGTTGTAAGTAGCTGCATGACCAACTTGGCACTGAAACCTGAAGCACAACTATCACAGGCAACTGGTTTCCCTTATCTGAGGAAAGACTGAAAATATTAGGCTAATGCCAAGGCAAAAAAGGCCCATGTATGTCACTGTACAAGGACTAAAACATATGTAAAAACAATGAGAAGTCCTGTGGTGCCTTAGAGACGAATATATAATGCATATATGTAAGTAAATACATATACAGAAAGAGCATGCTCATCATAAGCTTTCATGGGCAAAACACACTTCAGATGAGGTGATCTTGAGACTATCTTGTTTTTAAAGTTTCAGACTAACATGGCTACCCCTCTGAGATTTTCAAACAGATGTAGTGTTACTTTTCACATCAGCTGAAAGCCAGGTGCACAGCAGCTGACAGTAGTGGCATCTAAAACCCCTTTGGGATGAGGGATTTCTTGCTTAGTGTGTGCCCTTCTTTAGCACGTTACTTATACAGCATCTCATGAGCTCTCCAAAACTACACAAAAATGTACATATGACAAGATTTAGGCTGTCAAGAAATTCACTGTTTTCCTTTGTTTCAAAGATTTAGGGCTAGCTTTTGGTATAAGTGAGCATATCTACATTGGCTTCAATTGCGCTATATCAATTTACACCAGCTGGGAATCTGACCCTTAAACTAAAGATTGCTGTGAGCCAGAGTGTAAACACTCTTGGCATTTGGAAAAGTGTAGATCTCAAGTTTTGCGGCTGGGGCCCCTCTCAAACTTAGACTATTGAACTTGCAAGAAAAGAAGTCATATATCACTCACATACCTCTGGGAAGGGTAACCTTAGAAAAGCATAGATTAACAGATAAAGGATGCTACTTTGTTGCAGCGTTCTGTATTACCCATATCACAGCTTCTATTTATGACAGAGGAGAGTCATGCATGCACACTGCATTAAAAAACTCCATGAGCACGAGCCAGTAATTACTCCTATTTACACAGAATTCACTGAGACACACAGTTCATAAACTGCAACAAAATATTGTGCCAGTATTTGACATTTCTGTAGAAAATCACAAAGCTCTATATAGAAGTCCACAACAGCCCCACGATATTTCTTAGAA